TTTTCTTAATATAGTATATCTGGATAGACGCTAGATAAAAGTTAATTCGTGTGAATATCTTACCATCTCTGAATATAGATTCCGGTTAATTTTGCTCTCTAGTTTCCATAACCTCCAACTGTCTTAAATCTGAAATAGAAAGCTCCTTGAAAATAGATAAACTAATAGTGAGAAATTAACGGCACATAAGGAGCAAGCACGGATGTCTTAGTGCTATTAAATACTAATATTACTTTATTTTAATATTAATATGATTGTGGGAGGATAAAATTGTCCAGTATGTTAAACGCACGTATTGAAATTTTTCTTCGATTATCGTACGCGGAGAATCACCTTCCATTAGACCTTCACTTAGACCGATCCTTGAGTCCCAATTTTTAAATATATATTTTTATTAAAATCCCAAACCCCCATTAAACAAATGACTCAAATAGATTCCTTATATTATGTTGCGAAAAAACTGCCTCCACCAGGACTCGAACCTGGAACCTCCCCACTTTCCGGACGGGACGCCTTTCCATTCGGCCACCGAGGCTTCGACAGTAATCTCGCAACACAATGTTTATAAATTCTCTAAGATGTAAGTTGAGAGAGAATGAAAGAGTCGATCTCGTAAGAGATGTTATTATACGAGAGAGAGATAGCATATTCTTCCTGCCGATGTTTTTAAGATAAACTGAAATAGAAAGCTCCTTGAAAATAGATAAACTAAGTATAGTGAGAAATTAACATACTGGACAATTTTATCCTCCCACAATCATATTAATATTAAAATAAAGTAATATTAGTATTTCCGTGCTTGCTCTTTATGTGCCGTTAATTTCTCACTATTGTCTTAAATCTGTTTATCTGGATAGGCGCTAGACGCAATTTAGCTTGTGTGAATATTTCACTATCTTTGAATATAGATTCAATTTGTAAGTTTCCCATGTGGAAATTTGTTTGGCAAAAACTAGTTTGGTTCTAACGTCTGCCCAGTTTTCTTAATATAGTTTATCTGGATAGATGCTACACTGAGAGAAAAATTATATTAAAATCAACAAATATTTCTCTGATAGGTGCTATTAATATATTTACTTAAATCTACATTCTCTTTATTTAAACCAAATATTGTTTATTTAAATCAGGTAAACAATATTTGATTTAAATAAAGAGAACGTAGATTTAAGTAAATATGTTAATGACATCCATCAAAGAAATATTTGTTGATTTTAATATAATTTTTCTCTCATTGTAGACAAAATTTGGCTCGTGTGAATATTTCACCATCTCTGAATTTAGATTCCGGTTAATTTTGCTCTATAATTACCGTAACCTCCAACTGTCCCAAATCTGTTTATCTGGATATGCGTTACACGCAATTTAGCTTGTGTGAATATTTCACCATCTTTGAATATGGATTCAATTTGTAAGTTTCCCATGTGGAAATTTGCTTGGAAAAAACTGGTTTGGTTCTAGCGTCTGTCCAATTTTCTTAATATAATTTATCTGGATAGATGTTAGACCAAATTTAACTCGTTTGAATATTTTACCATCTCTGAATATAAATTCCGGTTAATTTTGCTCCCTAATTACCATAACCTCCAACTGTCCTAAATCTGTTTATCTAAATAGGTACTAGACAGAATTTAGCTCGTATGAATTTCACCGTCTCTGAATATAAATTACGGTCAGCTTTGCTCTCTACTTATCGTAACCTCCAAGCTGGTCAGTAGCTGTCTTGATCTTCTCGATATAGACGGCGCCACCAGAGCTCAATTTGTAGGTTTGTTCTTTTTCTCTGCATCTGTTGTACCAACGTAATATGCAACATTATACACAGCATAACTTGTTTGGTTCGTTTCGTGTATATTATTTGTAATCTATAGCAGCATGTTGTTATGTAGGACAAAACATGATGAAACGCTAAAAGACGTTTCAGCCAAAATGCATGTATTGCATAAACGAACATTGCGAAATACGGCAAGTAAATCAAAGGTGCACGCGCTGCAGAAACATCACGTTACACTTTTGAACTGTTAGGTAATTAGGTCGGTAACCTAATTCCCTAATTTCATGAATGATATATAAAGAGTTGGACCATCCACTCGAGCAGAGCAGAGAAAGTAGAGAGAAGTACTGACCAGTCTAGAGGCGCACGTTACATGTCTCAAGTGAGAGACAACTGACTCTAGAGTAATACGAGTGTTTCGCATTATAATAACATTAACCTATTCGGTAAAGGATAAGATAAAAGGTATCTATCTGAAGTGCAATAAGAACGTGACCAGAAACTGTAAGAAGACAAGTTCAATAATATAGTTTTATTATAAAAACTCCTCAAGACTATAAGATTCCCTTACTATCCTAACCGTTTGCACGTCTGCACCGGATCCCAATTACCGGTTGTGCTTATCATAATTGAGGGCACAACAAAATTGGTGGCAGCGGTGGGATCCCGCGGTGTCCAAGCCTGCAACAAAAAGGAAGAAGGGAAAGGTCAAGTTGAAAGACTCAAAAATATTGGGAACTAAAATTAAAACTACGAGGGACGAGACACGAGAAAAAAATATCTCGATGACTCAGTAAAAGCAAAATCAAGGAGAACTGAGGAACCGGAACGGACAACGCCACAGCAGAATCGAGGACGATCGTCGGAGATACGATCACCAAAACGCCTGCTGTCAGCGACACCGGAGCCTACAGTACGTCAGCATACCGAGCTAACCCGCCCCAAGCATCATACGTCGGAGTAACGTACAGGGAGCAGAGGCAGCCCAGCTGATTCAACCTTGACACCAAGCAACGACCGACAGCGGATCGTGTACCAGAAACACCGTCAGCACAGCGAAAGAAAAAGTATACAACATGCGAATCACGGCGATAATGTAAGTCCAAAAACAAACACTGTAATTTATACGCATATTGAATGTCGGAAGGAAGCAATATACCCCGCGAACCGATAAGAAACCGTACCTGGTTGCATAGTGAGCCTGCAACCAGAACCTTAAGACGACTCGCCGGGTTAGATAACTTTGAAATTCCTCGTTTAATAAATCACACAAGACAACTAATCGACCAAAGCGTGCGCCGTACTTTGAATTTTAATAACGTCAGCTCTCACACGATTGACTCTCCAGCTCATGTAACAGTAGAGCGCGAATTTCCATTCACGGAATTAGATACTAGTATAATGCCACCAATTTTGTTGTGCCCTCAATTATGATAAGCACAACCGGTAATTGGAATCCGGTGCAGACGTGCAAACGGTTAGGATAGTAAGGGAATCTTATAGTCTTGAGGAGTTTTTATAATAAAACTATATTATTGAACTTGTCTTCTTACAGTTTCTGGTCACGTTCTTATTGCACTTCAGATAGATACCTTTTATCTTATCCTTTACCGAATAGGTTAATGTTATTATAATGCGAAACACTCGTATTACTCTAGAGTCAGTTGTCTCTCACTTGAGACATGTAACGTGCGCCTCTAGACTGGTCAGTACTTCTCTCTACTTTCTCTGCTCTGCTCGAGTGGATGGTCCAACTCTATATCATTCATGAAATTAGGGAATTAGGTTACCGACCTAATTACCTAACAGTTCAAAAGTGTAACGTGATGTTTCTGCAGCGCGTGCACTTTTGATTTACTTGCCGTATTTCGCAATGTTCGTTTATGCAATACATGCATTTCGGCTGAAACGTCTTTTAGCGTTTCATCATGTTTTGTCCTACATAACAATGTTTAGATATATGTTGCTTTGTTTTATCATATTTAACAGAAAATTTAACCACGTATATATGTATATATGTGGGATCGGAAAGGGGCTACACTCATGATTTCGTTCTAATTTAAATATTAAACCCGCTTGTTACGGGACTGAGCGATTGTTTATACGTGAGACGACCAAAACAGCGAGCGAAAAGGTCGGGACGTTCTTCGTTATTAGGATCGCGACGAGTACGGTCGGAGAGCGGAGCAGTAAGACCGGCGAACGAGTAATATGTTATTCTCTGTAATCCTTTTATTTATTAAACGTTTGTTCAAAACGATAGTAAAAAGAAGTGTTTCTCCATTGAAATCCCATAGAATTCTTTCTGCAAACTTTTCCAATATTTTTAAGCTTCTAATTCAGATGTTAACGTACAGCAATATTTTTTGGAACTTTTATGAACAGAGCAAACTCACGTTCAATACAAGCTACAGATCACAATATATACAAGATACAGATTTTTGTATTAGGCGAATATTTACTTTAACTGACACATAGCATCTGACAGACTAATTTACATTCGAAATTTTAACTCTGAAATTTTTTTCTCGTTTTTGTTATATACTGAGCAATGCTCCAATTTAATCAATTAATGAAATTAATTATCACACCCATACACACACAATCAATGCATAATTAATAAAAGTTTGTTTAATAATTAATTTCATGAATTTATTAAATTATTTGTGATTTTACACATAACGATTGATTAATTTGGATTACTGACTTGCCAGTCATCTTAGTTAACTAAAATTTTAATCGACTAATATTCAATACTGCCCTTAGTTGGGTAAGTTCTCGTCAACTCGTATTCTTGCGCACAAGACTGTGCATACGTTTCATTAAGTAATTATTCAATATTCATAGAACTCAGAAACCTGCCAATTAATTCAAATATAGCACAGTGGTTTCGCGCTGGGTAAAACGAAAATATTCACAAAAACAAGAGAGAGGAACGCCATTACAATAGCTCTCTGTTCTCAACTTGTATTTGCAACAGATAATTTGATATTGCTGAGCAGCAATTAATTCGTCTGTCTTGAATGCACACAGATTTCATTAATTTATTAGTTGCTAGATATTAAAAGCAGTCACTTTCACGCGTAATTTATTCCTAAATTCTCTTTTTTTTAAGTTGCACTGTCATCCCCTGCGCGGTGACTTTTCTCATTGGCAATCAATGCGATTTACGCCTACTACATGCACTACGTAATGCGACGCTTCGCAAACGTTCAAATTGTACGCTCACCAATTCGCGTTGATGCCCAACGACATGCAACCCCGTCCAGGTCCACTGATGAGACCAGTCGCTGCATCCGCCCAGCCTCTGTAGCCTTCAGTTGTCGTCCCACGTCGGTCGCACTTCGTTCACTTCACTTCACTTCATTGCGCCGCGCTCGCGGCCGCGATAACACTTCACGACGTTTAACGGTTGAGCGAAAAATACGAGATAACTTACGGTGCTTTGAGAATGTACTCGTGTGAGTGGCGAGTCGTGTGCAAAAAATTGTATACCCGAAGACCACGGTGTTGCCGACAAAAGGTCGCGCGAGAGAGAAAGAAGAAGTATCCCGTTCCACGAACGTTTATATTTTGTGAAAAAGCGAACTTCCTGTCTCATAAGAACATGAATTCCAGCTTTGAACTCTGATTCCAATCGGAATGACATTGTAACTCGTCGGCGAGTAAAACGAAACTGACAATCGTGGCGACCATCAAATTTATTACGAACAAAGTAAAAGCAATCGCGAATTTCACGTGGCAGCGCAATTCTGGTGTTCAATTCTGGTCACACTTTTTTAGCATTTAAAATAATCGGTAACCATATTCGATGAATAATTTCACATTGACATCTTGGATAAAAAGATCGTAATTATAAAATATTTATATATATTAATAAATTTACTGAAGTATTTAATAGATTGTAGGTTTGGAAGAAATATTTAGATATCTTTATTTTTACTTTAAGGGAATATATTTTTACTTGAAAAAATATCTTTCCGGAATTTTTTATAAGGAAACGAAAAGAATGAATATCAAATTTTGAATAATGTCAATTTTGTCAAATATTCCTTTAACCTTTTTTTAAGAATATATTTTTATTGCTTAAGTAACAAAAACGGTCTTCTTTTGTAGTAATACTGACAAATGTCAACGTATCAAGCTCAAGTCATCGTTTAAAGGCAATGCATTTTTTGAGCTGATAAAAAGAATAGATAATTACCCGCAAGACTCGGGGACCTTCCTCGGTATTTTAGCACTATATTTTGTATACGAAAAATAATATAACGCTTCTCATACACATTTTGATCAATTCGAAATTCATTCACACGTAAGCAGGGTTAAATAAATTAATATTTTCTTTTTTAACTAAGTTAAGTTTTGAGATTTTTTGTTAGACAGTGTGTGAAAATGCGGATATGTGAATGTTGCTTAGTGTATTATAGAGTTAAGAGCGAAGTAAAAAATATATAAAAGAGTGAAAATCGTATATAAATCGTATATAAAATGTAGGAAAGAAAATATAGAATATGAAACAAAAATAGAATGGAATAGAAGATAATGTGTTAAAGTAAAATAGAAAGTAATACGCTACTGTGAGAGAGATACTTATTTATTTATTATTAAAAGATATATGTGTGTGGATAGATGAGTGTGAATTAAAAGATACAAAATGTAAGCCAAGTCCTTTCTTAGTGTGTAATCTAAAGTAATAAAAATACAAACTATGTTAAGTTTAAAAGGGTAATGACTTATAAAATTAATTCAGTAAGATTAAGAATTATATAAGCAAAAGCTAATTTAAAAGTAAAGTTAACAACAAATTAACTTATTAAAGTTAAAAATTAATTATGCCAAACAGAGTATATTTTATGCATAATTTATTTTTTTATCATAGCTTAAATTTATGTAAGATAACGGAAAAGTAGTTGTTCATAATGAAATATCGGTTGTTTTGTACTGAGAATTCCGTACAAGAAAAAACACTAGCACTTATAGAGAGAAAAAAAGCATTTCTTATTTTTCTTATTTTATATTGTACAAGCAGCCCGCAATGATTTTATATAATATCGATGAATTATTTTAACTTATATAAGAAAAATTAAATTGTAAGTTATAATAATTAAAATAATCAAAATAGTTCAAAAGTATTTCAAAATGACTAATTAAAGTTCAAAACCGATTAATCTAAAATGAACTAAATCAAGTTAAAAGTCATTAACTTTCTAACTGAACTTTTAATTAATTAACTCATTATTACTCAACCCAGCTCAGAGATGCAGCCTTTACAAATCAATTAATAAAGTTATTGCCAAAAATTTACGTATACTTGTTTATCTGAGTCATAACGCAAAGATATTAAAAGAAAGGAAGGAATTCAAGAAATATTGACAACCGAAATGAGGAATCTATCTTCTGTTCGATGACAAGTACGAGCACGATTCTTCTCTCGACGCCATCGTGCCTTTCATAAATATTTCATCTGGTGGGAATATTACGCGCGAGCGCTCAAACGGGAATCATTTCTGATTTTGCGCGACTTGTTCCCCGCGGCAGTCGTCAATTCACTCAGAGAAGTGCGTGCAGCGAGTGATCGCAGGAACGAAAGATAAAAAACGAAAAAGCAACCAAGAGGACTCGTCACGCGCAATTCACGTGCACTCATAGTATTGTATACTGGAAAAACTAGCGTAACACTGTTGCGTATTGAGTACAACTTTATTGTTCTACTGTGAAAATTAATTCACAATCTTTAGTATTTAATGTTCTACTGACAAAAATGATGCAAAATAATTGTACTGAATGTAACTTTTACTTCACTGTCCTTAAAGACGCGGAAATTAATGCGAATTATAATTTAAATTATGTTTGTGTTTTAAATCATGTGATATTACATTTAAAGACACACACACACACACACACATAGGACATTCTTTCTCAAGCGGACACCCCATACTCCCCAAAATTGGTTTGGCGCAAAAAATTCGTTCAAGGTGTCAAAATTCGCGGAAAAATATAAACTTTCCAATGCCGTATAGCACTTTTGAAATATAAAATAGTGGCTCTAATATGGCGACCATAATTAGTAAAAAGCGTCTGCTAGGCAGAAATTGTGTTAATTTGTTTTATGTTTTAAATTTGTTTTAAATTTTTTAAAATTTTTAAAATGTTTGTAATTGTTTCATTTTTTAATTTGTTTAATAGTTTAATTATTTTTTTTTTTTTGTTAATTTTGGTAGTCAGAAATTTTTATCTTTCAGAAAACAAATTGTAAAGGAGACACAATAATCAAATTGACACAAATAATCAAATTATCTATTCAATACGAAAGACCCAAAAATAAATATTTTGTCGAATTTTATAAATATCGGTATTCACAGAGTCGCTATGGTTCATGTTATGGTAGATTATGTCTCGGACTTCTATACAGACGGTAGCAGGTTTGTTCATCAATCTGTGTTCATCGCTACAGTAAGAGATCATGTTGCGCTGACCACTTACACTTACTCTTTTACAAACGTGACAAACATTTGGTTGATAAAAATTATTATAACTACCAAGTGTTCCATCGACATAGTATGCCATATTGCAAATCCTTTATGTAATTTTCCATGCCAATATATTTTGTTTGCTTAAGAATACTTTTGAGTAATTTACAGCTGATATTTTTAAATTGCAGTTACGATATTGATAACTGTTTAGTAGAAATTGAATTTTTTCATGAAAGTTTTAATTTTTTGTTTCTTTATAGTAATTATGCTAGTAGAGAAATTTACAGTTTTTTCTATTATTTTACACTAATTGAAGTACTAATTTCTTTTGATACATAGATAGATAGAGTCAAAACTCTAATGCAGAATCAAGATAATGGCTAACAAAATAGCAATTAAGGTTCATACTGAAATGTTGTTGACAATTACTATACGATTTGGCGAAAACGATCATCTGCTTTTCGTACAACGCTAGTTTATGTGCGAGTCGTTATTTAATTTACAGTAAAAATTTACAGCAAAAATTTGTATCTCAATTGAATCCAATTAGGCGTGGATGAACAAAGCAGATGCCAATCTATATTCTCTTTCAAGCAATATGTCATCTTTTCACAGAACTCGAAATGTTTTGTGCATCGTTGCAATAACAAATCATGCACTATTGATAACAAATCACTGTAATTATAGTACATAAGAGCGACATAAAATCGACATAATTTGTTTTATTGCGAACATGAAACAAAAATTTCGCTTAAAAGAAGTATTATAATCATCATAAATCTTAGAATCTTAGAATGTTCCAAGACAAATGACACTTTATAGGGAAGTCCATGCTGATATATTTTGTAAGTGTAAAACCGGAGACTGTAATTTACTGTAATTTCAATTTAGAACTAATACTTGTGTAAAATACCGTACTTTGACAGAAGCAAGATAATTATCTATGAACAGTTTAAATGTAATCCAAAATGTACATTAAATTGCGCCGTGAGAAGATAAGCATTGTTTCCCCACTCCGATCGTTATTCATCGCCAGCTACCAGAGGCCGAATTTAGTACAGAATGTGAACAAACAGATAATAATTAATGCTGGTCTCTATTAGTAACAACATTGTCACAATATTCTGGAAACAAACATTGATCTTATAGTGGTTTATTGTTTGGATTTACGACTATGACAAACTCCTGATCATAAGCTGTAAGAAATAATATTCCGTTGATTTTTATCTGCCAACGGCTGATTAAAAAGTTATATGCGGTAGCGTTCTCCCCGTTAATACTTAGTGGCACCGAAAAAAACTGTTTTGTATTTGTTAGGACTCAGTAGCCAATCCAGTATATAATTTCCTGCAATAACTCGTTGCTGATCGAGTCGCGTAGATATTGAAAAAATTATGGCATGCATTTAAGCGTTTCTAATAATAGCTAATAACATTGACAATGACAATAATAATATAACATTAAAATTTTAATATTTAAAAATCTTGAAATTTTTAAACACAAAATAATTACATCAGAATATTATTGTCAATCAATTCAATTTTATATAGTTATATGTACTTTTATTATTGAATATTACTGAATATTTTATTATTATGAACTTATAAAATAGATAAAGAAATTGATGTATTATTAGAATGATTGTCTTCAATTAATATAACAGTTTATACTAGTATAAAATATACTACTAGTTATATTAGTATATCTAATATTAGTACAATAGTTTATACTAATATAAAATATACTAGTTATTAGTACTGGTTTATAGTATAAAAATTATAGTATAATTTATAGTATAAAAATAGTATTAGTTATACTAGTATATAATATACTAATATATCAATATCAATACAGCAGTGAAAATAAATATAAAAATTTGCTATCGGATTTATATGCAATCCTACACCAAAAATAAAAATTATGTAAAAGATGATCCATGAAAAGACTGACAAACAGTTAAGTTAAACTTCCGCATATATTCAATAAAGATATCGAAATATATTCCTTAATTTTTCAAGTTTAAGAAAGGATTTCGCTTAATAAAGTATTTCATTGAGTCACATTAAACATGCACTATCATTACACTAGTGCAGTTTTTAACAAAACTTAGCGCAACGCTGGTGTTGCACCAGTTTTCCTCGTAGGAAAAGCTATATAAATTTTGTTTTTACTGGTTCAGGTCGAATTCTGAATGTCACAGTAAATGTGTATCGTTGTTCTTTGTATCTGTTGGGGAATTGTCTGTGATACATAGAACTTACAGCACCAGCATTCCAGTACAATAACTGCAGGCGAATTTGGTCCCGTTACCGATTCTTATGGTGCGATTCTGTAACTTTTAATGACAGTGTCGTTGTCGTTATGTATCGTAGCGCAACTTTTCTATCACATATTATACCTGCACAAGGACAACATAACCATAACGACACTGCCGTTAAGAGTTACAGAATCGCACCATTAATCTGGTCTCAATCTGAACGTTCGCCACAGAGAGAGACCTTCCTGCTAAATTTTACAAACAATCCAAATATAAATTCTGTCTCTCGATCAAATGTCTATATTGATCAAATGCAAGATGTGCATAAAGCACACATGTGCTATTACAGTGCTTGCAGTGGTAATATATTAATCTTAGCTAATATCCCTCGTATCTGGATCACTCTCGCTGTGACTGCAACTTCCTTGAGTGTGGGACGCGAATCGATTCACTCGCGCGCGAAACTGGCGCTTAGGATCGCGCGACGAGACGTTCGTCGTCGCGGCGGGAGACAGCACGAGGGAAAACGGGAGAAAAAACAAGAAACCTGAAGAGGCGAGATGATCGCCAATGCGCGCGCGCGGTCCGTAAATCTTCAAAGTGCGCCTTCGACCGTGCCGATCGATCGTGATTTAGGGCGGACGGCCGCGTGCGTCGCGTGACTTCGACATTAACAATCTCCTCTTTCACTCTCTGCCCCTCGACCTCACGAGGAATCGTCGCGGAAAGTCCCCCGGAGAAGCGTTCGTGGGGGCGCAAGATCCTGGGTGTTATTGTTCTTCCTCGCGAGACGGTCATTCCTGCGATCGCCTCGTCCGTTTCTCTCTTGCCTCTCTTTCCTCTCCTGCGGAGCATCCCCTAGCCGTGGAGAAAGGGCCACAATCTCGC